AACAAGCACGGTGACAGATTCGTACCTGTCGGGAGTATTCTGCATGAACATGAATTTAACAAAAGCACTTGGTTAAAGCCTCGTGTCAAGAAATAGGCTCCCTGAACAGCCAGCTTATAAAGCAGAGTAGAAAATGTTTCATTTCCTTAATCCCTATGCCTCCATCAACCCCATGCCTTGGGTACCTGAAGAAATATGGAAACAGGATGGACGTGGGTTGTGATTGGACAGCTGAAAGCATGGAGCCCCTACTGGTATGCCCACCCACACCTTGTATATGTACAAAATGTGTGTGGATGAGGTTCTCTCCAAAGGTGAGGGCCGCCTTACTTGATTGTGGGAGCATGTAAAACATGGGGTTGTGAGGTTGGCAGTTTGGGAATCCCATGCAAAGTGGAGGAGAGGTCGCATACAATCTGCGCCCCAGGATACTACCCGACACACGGTCTCCTCCTCCTGCTCCAGCAGCAAAGGAAGGGCTCATCAGCTGAGCCCACTTGCTCCCATCAGCAGAACTACCTATCCCAACATGAAGGAAGAGTCTTAGAGCCCAGGAGACTTATCAGGGAATCCTTGGGAGACCAGGGGTAAAAGCACTAGGCTGAGAACCACAAGGTCACCAGTTCCAACCCATGGGAGAGAGAGATGACAGTCTGTGTGCAGTCAGATCCAATCTCCAAAGCAAACTCACAGCCACCAGGTCAATTCTGATCCACTGCGACCCTACAGGGCAGGGTAGAACTGTCTCTGTGGGTGTCCAAAGCTATAACTCTTTACGGGAGCAAAAAAGCCCCATCTTTCTCCCATGGAGTGGCTGGTTGTTCCAAACTGCCGATCTTGTGGTTATCGGCCCAATGTGTAATCCACTAGGCCACCAGGTGTCAATACAAATATGCAAACACATACATTCATGGGAAACACAAAAATGGGGACCTGCCTCTCAGATGTAACCCAGACCTCCCAAAGTTATTTTGCATGGTTTGAAGCCTTATGGCCATAGTCTCATGGACAACTCAGTCCACTGGCATAAGATCATTCACCAAGCTCATGATCTGCACGCTAGTGAAGAGAGGAGCACCCAGGGTTCAAAATATGTCCCAGCAGCCACCTAAGTTACAACCACTGGTCTCTGCTTCCCAGTAGCTAAACTGTAAGAAGGCAACCAAAAGCTCAGAGGGAAAACAAACAAACAAACAAGTAAACATGACTCATTTACTCTGAGACCAGAACTAGATAGTTCCGAGCTGCCAACACCGATTGTGCTGATTAGAGGCCACAACAGACGGTCCTGACAGAATAGGAGAAATAGGTGGAGCCCACACACATTCCTTAAAAAGAAAAAAAGGCCGGCATACTGGAAGCAGAGGACTCCCTGACATGATCTCCCTGAGGCACGTTCTACACGCAGAACCAGAGTCCGTGCCCTGAGCTCACCTTCTAGAGAAACAGCAGAGAAGCTCACAGGTTAAAGGATATTCTGTAAGACCGGTGTCCTGCTTCAAAACCTTCAGCAGGAGACTAAAAGGTCAACAATTTCTCCGAAGCAAAGATGAAAAATGAGGGTAGGAGTGTGCCCATAGGGAAACTAGAGTACTAGGAATGGAACAGAGAGAACACAGAAGACTGGCATGTGTGATAAACCTAACAGGTGCAACTGAACAAGGTGTGCAGGCAACTGTCAAATGGGGAACTTAACCTGCTGTGTAAACTTTCAACAGAACTCAGTATTACTGTTATTTTTTAAAGAGACCTAAATATGTGGTATTTATACTTCAGGATTAATCTTACAGATTGAGATAAAGACAGCCCAAACACAAAAGACGGGCTAAGTCAGTAAAAAGGGGAACATGGTGGGGGTGGGTGAACAGAAAAGGATGCTGCCTTTCTTCCCTTCCCAGAAGTGTGTGTGTTTGGTTTTTTCCAAAAAACAGCATGTGGAGGCAAAAGAAACTAAGTGAAAATTCCATGAGTTCCAACATACAGAATGTGTCCCCAAGACCTCATCTCTTCATCAATTTGGCATGCATCTCCTAGGAGCTACTGAACTTCCAGACCAGAGGAATCGGTCTCAATGAGCACACCAGACTGCAGGCTCCAGAAAATCCAATGTTTGTTATCATCTTCCCCACACAGGCCCTCCACACAGTCCTCGCCGGTACTCCGGGTTTCTCATCTATATTCAGGCTCTTTCTCCCTGATGCTTTCGTGCACAGCATCACGCATCTTCCCCGGATTCTGCAGGAAGCTTCCTCTCACCTCTCCTCGTATCAAGAAGAAAAATGAAGAAGCTGTTTGACAAAAATCTCCATGGTTAACCATTATTGTGTGAGAAAGAATTAGAACACAGCTTAGGGACCCAAAGAGAGGAAACCACGGTTCCTATACAGACAGATAGGCTGCTCCCTACACCACAGCCAAGGAACTGAAACTGATACCCACTACTAAATGCAATTACTTTTCTAGAATTATTTTTACAAAATCTCTGCGGCAGTCATCTTCACGAAGGTATGCTTTTTTCACCTCTGAAATAATTCTCAGCCAGCACAGACATTTCTATGATCCTTTGATCTGTTGCAAACAAAATAATTTTTCCTTGGAAATTTGCCGACTGAAGAAAGTATTTCTAAGTTAAAAAGTGAAAAGTCAACTTTTTTTTAATTAAAAGATCATTTTATTGAGGGCTTGGTACAGCTCTTATTACAAACCACACATCCACTGTTTGAACATATGTTCCCATCATTATTTTCTAGACATTTATTTTCCATTGAGCCCTTGGTATCAGCTCCTCGTGTCCCTCCCTCTCCCCCACTTTCGTGACAACTTGGATAAATTTTAAATTATTATTATTTTCATCTTATACCAACCACTGTCTCCCTGTCAAATTTTTTTAAAAAGGGAAAAAGAGGTTCACTGGTAGGTAACAACCAAACAAACAAGTGCGTGTGTTCAACTTGCCAAGTGCCGTGATGCAGGAAAGGAAATGCTTAACAAAAGCACAAATGTCTCTGCAGAGTCTAAGGAGTGCTGGTGGTGTTGTGAGTTAAGCACGGGGCTGCCAACTGAAAGGAAGGGTGCTCACACAACCGTCTGCTCCCCAAGAGAAAGATGACGCTGGTGGCTTCTGTACAGGTCTACTGGCTCAGCAACCCTGGAGAACAGCCCCGCTGTGGTCCCGACAGGACCATGGTGAGGTAGGAAGAGCTGACCTAAAGAAAGTGGGCTGGTTGGTTTTGAACGCATAGACAAGGTTTTCTGATTCCCATGCTAAGAAATCCAACTGCTGCACTTGAACTCGCTGGCGAAAGAGATTTGGCGAAAGCACGAGGAGCTATTAGACAAACACTGGAGGGCTACCTGCTGCTCCCTCGAAAAGATGTACAGCCTCAGAAAGGTATACATTGGAACCGACACGGGGGCAGTGGGCTATTTATACAGTACGGTATCATGTTTATGGAGCAAGTACCCCTTCTGGGCCGGACAGTCTTCACTTCAGAGTGTCTTATCATGGGGGTCTTTGCCACCACAGCGCCTTCTCCCCCATCAGCCAGCAACGGAGCTGGGACTCATGAGAATTAAGGATTGAAGGGTTTTCGGTAACTACCTTCCTATCTTCCTTCTGCATTTGTTTGTTTTGCAAGCCAAACTAAGAGCCTTCTCAAATTCCTTGACTTAAAAAAAAAAAGTTCCCACCCAACAATCACCCAGAGCTCAAAGCAACTCTGGCTTATACATTCTGCTTCTTCCTTCTCCTCATTCCATTCCTATCCACTAGAAGAAGCCAACACTCAGGAAGGCGCCCTACGTTACTAGTCGTGTCAGACGCTTCCAGAAATCCTACAAGGAGGCTTTAGAAAGTCTGTGGAAAACTCCCATTCTCCTCTATGTTCTTTTGTCCATCAACTTTTCAAAGGCCCTTCCTATAGCGCAATGCCACTACCATTAGCTCCACGCAACATGCAACCAGGGCAGGTAGGTCCACCTGTTTTTAAGCACATCTTTCCTAGTGATCAGTCCTCAAGAAAAAAGATGACACAAAGCAAATAAGGAGAAGTTGGGGGGCGGGAGGGGGGCTGTTTGTGTGTGATTCCTGTATTCCGCTGGGGAGGAAACTCCTATTTGCCCAGGCTGATAATACCAGAGCTGAGAATAAGCCTGGGCAACATTGGAAGCCCAACAGAAGCCTTACATGAACAGCTGCGTATAAGCTCCAGCTGGACCACGTCCAGGAAACGGTGAATGATTTCGCAATCAAGGTGTTTTCCATTTAAGAAAAACACCAGGGACCCGTCTCCCTCCACTGCCCCCCATTGAAGGCCAAGCAGAGCAGGCATTAATGCTACAAATAAGACTGCCCATGGAGGGGGAATGTGGCTACATTTAGCTTAACTATAGGATTAGGTGTCAGCTGCAGCCACAGAATTCCTGCAGAGGAAACCAAGAGGTAGATACAGGGTTAGAAAAATAATGGTTTCATTCTGTGCTGGGTTCTGTGGTCCCTTTATTGCTCTACATTTTTCCATACAAAACATATTAAAGGGAAGCGCACTTACAGTAGACTTACCGTAACTCCGCTTTCTCCCAAAATCATTAGTTAGCTATGCACAGGGAATTCAAAAAGTTTATGGAAAAGTTATGGGGAAAAAATCCCATCCTCTTTTCATTCCATTTTCCATGTACTTTTTGAAGCCCCCTCGTATAATACTAAGGAAAAAGAGGTCACAGATGTCTTGGCCAATGGCAGCTTACACTTGATGATAACTGTGTTCACACCTTCACTAAACAGGCTCTCCCATACTTTTCCCCTTGTGTTTATAGCCACACTGGAACCCCAGGCCAAAAAGGTCCATCTGTGCCGTGGCACATCCAAGTTTTTATTCCCCCCTACACAATCCAGGTAGAGCTGTAGAAGATGACTTCTATCCAGGCGAGAAAAAGAACAGCCCAAACCCACGTCTTTACCTTTCCAGAAGGCAATAGCCAATCAACTCATCGATACTGACCTTGTTGCTCGTTGTCTGCGTCAGTTTTCGAAGAACCGGGTGCGACAGGGAGGGGCCGAGGTGGCCGGGGCTTTGGCGTGGGAGGCGAGATCCTTTTCCTGCCAATATATTCTACATACGTTCCCGGAAAGTCTCCCCTCTCCCCCGTGGTTTCATTGTAGCCATTCAGCCAGCCAATTTCCTCTGGTCTGGCTTCCTGTCCGTCACTGAATCCAAGCGCTACCAAGGACCCCTTATTCACAGTCAGGATGTCACCCAAATTCAAGTCGATGTCTTCTTCTCGCTCCTTTTTGTAATCGTACAGCGCTCTGTACTGGTACCCCTCGGCACTCATGCTTGCGAGTTGGCTTTGTGCTGCGATCTAAGTCTGCACTGCTATGGATAGCACAGGGGGAGCGGGTGTTAAAGTTCCCGATATGTGTCCAGCAGGGGACAAAGGACAGGGCTCCGAAGGTTTAAGAGGAGAGGTGGCTGGCCATCCGGCTGGCCACCTGTCCTCCATCAATGGTGTGACTGAAGGCAGGGCTCCACTTCCTCTCTTGCCACCGTCCTCCTACTGGCTTCCTGTTCAGCAACTTGTCAACACTCGACTTCCGGCTGACTCCCACCTCGAGGCCCGATTCTTTCTGACACTCTTGTCACACTGTCCATCTGCCGTCTGATTTCACCGCTGCGCGCCACCCACAAGCTGCACCTAGCACACAAGAAAAATAAATAAGAAAAGAAAAAACAAGACTTATGAATGAACTTCACACTCTGCCATCTGTGTGAATTTGAATGTGTGCTTCCATTCAACAAGTACTCATTCAACTTGGCAGGCGGACGCGGGCCAGTGTGCCATTGCACGGCCCAGGACCAGCAAGCTGTGCCTTCTAAGAACCTGGGCTGGGGTGGAGGCGCTGGGCTGTAGAGCACGTAGCAATGTCTCACAGAGAAGCCTGGTACACAAGGGACTAGAGTACTCGGTGTGTGCCACCAGACAGGCAGAGACTGAAGAGCTCTGGGTTCACACAAGGAAACAACTGCATCTTGTGCAGGACTCTGAAGACAGATTGCAATGGGGTGACGTAAGCTTAGGTACAGGTGTGACTAAGCAAATGCCATATTCCTGGAAAAGCTGGGACAGGCGGTCCAAGTGGTCTGAAGCCAGAAAGGAACAGTGGGGTCCAGGTTAGAGAGGCGAGCAGGGCCATGGGCGCACAGGTGGGCCTGGGTTGGGTCTGTGTGTCATGCAGGAGCCGCAGTGCATTCGGGGAATCACCATCTGGCTATGGGGCAAAGGAGGGGCAGGAGAAGGTGAAGAAAGCTATGAGAGGCACAGGAACCAAAGTAGCAGCAGCAGCTTACAGAAAGAGGAGTCCTGAAATCAGAGACGTCATGGAGCAAGAATCCACAGGAATTGGCATGAGTTTTCAATCGGGGCAAGAAGGAGAATGACAAGAGCAAAACGTGCCTGATTCTGAAGACTCCCACCACCAATATCAGGCTACGGGGAGCCAGGCGACATTGCAGGTTTAAGGTGAGACCGGGCATCCAAGCCCAAGGGCGTTAAGCAGTTACCTGGTTGGAACTGACTCTGACTCACGGAAACTGCGTGCCTGCCAGAACAGAACTGCTCCCTAGGATTGTCAGTGGCTGTGACTTTTCAGGTCACCAGGACTTTCTTCTGCGGTGCCTCTGGGTAGATGTCAACCAGTGAGGAACTGAGCACATGATCATCTGTGCCAATCAGGGAGTCTTCAGAGTGCCAGTGAGGGGTTGGAACTCTGGTCTGTAATTTAGGAGAGGGAACACACCTGAGATTTAGTGACCTGCAGCAAAGAGGGCTCTGAATGCAAAGGACGGGAAGGAATAACTCAAAGTTAGAAGGGATGAACTAAGACTAGACATGGAGGCTCCGTAAAGAAAGCCTCTCTGGTCGTGCCAACATCTCAGTGCTCAGCTGCTGACAGAAAGGCTGGTAGTCCCCCCCCTCCCCCATTCAGCTGCTCTGCAGGAGAAAGACCAGGCAGAGGATAGCCAACGCAACCCTCTAATGCCGTTCTACTTAGTCACAAGAGGGCTCTAGGCGTCAAACAGACACTCGATGGCAAAAGCCATCAGCAAAAGCAAGAGAGAAAGCCAAACTTTGGAGGCAATGGAAGATCCTAGAAGCAAGGCAAAAGAGGGTTCTCGAATTAAGATGATGAAACCTTGCACAGGTACCCAGAATGGGGAGACTGAGTGAAGCAACGTTACTTGTGGCTTGTCCACCACCAACTTGGAGAAAACATATTCTAGCACAGAGAGAAAGGAGAGCCGCAAAGGGCCTGGTGGTCCAGGGTCAAGCATTGGGCTCCTAACAGAAGGGGCCATAGTTTGAGCCCACCAGGCACTCCACGGGAGGAAGATGCAGCAGTCAGCTTAAGCAGAGAGCGCAGCCTTGGAAACCCTAGGGAACAGTTCTACTCCATCCTAGTGACTACTGTTCCCAAAACAGGACCTAATTCACTGCCATCAAGTTGATTCAGAATCAACTCAATGGTGATGGGTAGTGGCGGGGGAGGGGGTCGCGGTGGCTAATAACTAGTGGGGAAGCGGCTGCAGACACAGTGGCAGTTGCTGCAGATTAGAAAGATGCTTCAGTGGAGGGGGATCTAGGTAATGAAATGAGCCCTCCTCACTTCCATGTTGAAAACAGTGGAGGCAGGGGAAGCACAGTGGTCAGGGCGTGGCTGATGGGTAGAACAGCATGAACAGGGCCACCCTTTGCCCTCTGTTCGTTTCTCAACATCACCTTTATCAGAAAGAATAGAAGCAAACCAAAGGGTTTAGTTCTACTGGCTGTACAATGAAACCACTTAGGAAACAGCTGCATAATTTTAGTGTGCTATCCAAGAGAGCTTTTTTTATATAAGTTTCTTAGAGTAGAACACTTTAGAAGTTCAATATCGTAAGCCCTCTCCGGTGCAGGCGACTTCAGACGTACAACCTTTTCATCACTGATTAATTGTTATGTTGGCATTCAGATGTGTAAAGTACTCAGCTTTACATGGTTAAAGCCTCTTAGCTGTAATAGAATAGCACTCTTAGCAGAGTTACATATTAAAAAGAAGCAAAAACAAACACTGGAAGTCTTTGTGTAGCGAGAATATTAATTTGGGATAGCATTCTATTTTGCATTTCAATCAGGGGTGGGGGATTAAAGCAGTCACAGCAGGGCAGATGAGAAAAATAAGCTATATTCTCTGTCTGAAGGCTGCCTCTGCTTTTGATAGATCCAGAATCAAATTAAACATGCACTACATAAATTCACACGAAATGTAGAACTAGCAAATCTCATTTTTAGTACTGATGTACTCTGTACAAATGAGATACAGTGCTCTAAAGAACACGAGCATTTGCATATCCCTAAATGCCTGGAAACCAGGCAATATGCCGACGAAAATTTTAATTCCTCTAAATCTGCCTTGATTTTTTGTTAGCTTCTCCCAGTTATGGATGTCTTTTGGGTAAAAATCCCTGAAGCAGTAGGCTGGAAAGGTCTCTATGCCGACTGCTTCTTCTATTCCAGCAACCTAGTGGGCCAGAGTGTCAGGAATCATAACAGGCAAGACATATAATGAACTCCATCAGGAACCTATGCAAGGTCCCCAGCAGCCCCGAGGTGTCCACTCACAGCCCTCCGAGGCAGATGACTACACGCCACTGTTGGGGGCCCCAGCACTAGGGAAGGTTCCATGTCTGGGGGGAAATGAAATTTGCAGGACCAAACCGATGGCAGATCTTGGCATAAAGAGAAAAAGACTCCATCTGGAACTACCAGATGGCGTGAAAGAGATGAGCCCCTCGCCTTGAGATCCCCTCCAAGTGGGCCAAAGCCCTAACCAATTGGCCATCAGGTTAATTCTAACTCATTGCTGCCGACCCCCTCCACAAGTCCTTCCTTCTTCACCACTTTCACAGGGTGTGTGTGTGTGTGTGTGTGTGTGTGTGTGTGTGTGTCTCTAAAAGAATCCTGTGCAGACACGGACACCTGTGCCCTTCCTGACGAAACAAACCCCAGATCTTATAGGAAGGACATCTATGATCAAGGTCAGGAAGATCGATCCAGACACAACTGGAAGATGGATGCAGATTCAATAATTCTAAGTTAGCCTGAGGTTCTGTGATTTGAGAGCGATGTGTCAGGGAAGAAAGGGGGAGAGAAGACAAGTGGTTTGAGAGTGAATCGGTTGACTGTACGAAACAGAGGGCTTGCTGGGCAAAGAAAGCAGGCCTCTCCACCTTGTGCACACCCCATGCTTCCTCCTGCCTGCATGCTCACTCCAAGGATTGTTGTTAGCATCCCCTCACACGTACTGGAAGCTTTATGTGTGCTAACCTCTTCAACCCTCTCAATAATATGAGGCAGGTAGCTCTATCCAAGAACATCTTTTCTATATGAGGGAGTTAACACCGTGGCTAAGAAGACAGCAGTGGGGCAATGGAAACCAAAACACCCACGCTCTCAAGCTGAGTCTCAGTCACAGTCAACCCACACGTGAGAAAGTCAGACTGAACTCCAAAGCGTTGTCTTGGCTGCAATCTTTGTGGAAGCAGATTGGCGGGACTTTCTCCCGTGACACCACTACATGTAAACCGCTAACCTTTGGGGCAAGTGGAATCAGAATTCAGAGCCAGACAACCAGGCCGCAGGGCCCTTTCCCTTTTAACACCAGCAGAACCAACGCCACAAATCCCACTTGTGCTACTGCCCCTGGGCAACCTAAATAAATCATCAGAGTCAGCAAAGCGATTCTTTGTTGGTAAACCTAAACTCTCAGCCTTCCTGATGCACAAGCTTGGAACCGTGTGCCCGGCTCCTTCACAAACACACCTGCACAAATGGGGCCCATTCTACCACAGCAGCAGTTCCATTACATCTGAGAGCCAGCAACTAGGACCATGCAAACTTTCTCCTAAAGAGACTTCATTAAAATGCATCTTTGCCAAAGAAGCCCATAAACTAGTGAATAAAAGAATATCAGGCACACAACTTCTGGAAGGCTGCCCACTTCTGGAACTCAGCCCATTTCTGCTCCATGAGATTAGCTTCTGCCACCTGTAGCCCTCTTGGCATCTCAGCCCCTTGCTAATATTCCTGGGCCCACACTGAGCAAGTTTCTGACAATTCAGCTCCTCTGTTGGTGGGAGATGCGAAGAATCTACAGTCACATAGCGCTGCCACATCTAGAGGCCTGACAAGTTCCCTTTTCTCTAATGTTCACATTCTCCCAGGATGTCGAAGACCGAGTGCCTAAGGCACTTGGCAGAGCCCATGAAACCCTCTGGAGACAATTTGGAGCCCACACTCTGGCTAGATGGGCTGCATGCTACACCTTGCCCAGACTCACAAGATCACAGCACTGTCCTCTTTGGCTACATATACTTGCACGATTTTGTTGAAAGATTTCCAACTAGATTTTACAAAATCCTTGACGTAGTCAATGTTTTAATATGTGGGTAATATTCACCATCTAGGATAGGTGCTCATGTCTTCAAATAACCATGGCAGATTTAGGACATAGGCATAAGTTACTGTAACTAAAAGTACAAAGAAAGCCGATGCACAAATAACACGTTAACTCACTCGTATAGAACATCACATGCAACAGCTGTATATTGCCGTATGGAGGGATTATTTTGCTCCAGTCTGCTCCTCCATCTCT